CGCAGATGTGTCAAGCAGTGACACAATACCAGCGAACCATGCGTCTGTGCGTTTAAGATAGTACGTGTGCTGCCATTTTGGCAAATTACAACATAAAATGGTCGTTTCTATTTCGCCTTTGTCACTTCGCCGTACGAGGACGTCAATGCAGGGCGACTTCTGTTATATTTTTTATTAACTTGTAAGTTTTTAATCCTGAAATAGTTGGTGTAGTCGATTATGGAAATTATACAGCATGTATAAATGAAATTTTATATTGTCCATGTAGAACCAGTTCTGCCACCGAATCCGATATTAAGGATAACATTAGAGTTGGTAATTTGGGCTTGGCATTCTCTTGAATAAGCTGTGCACTATAGGCCCCATTATGCCACGCTGTTGAGCCGATTATTAAGAACTCTCAGCCCAAGGCGTTTGAGTCAAGACTGCAGAACATGCATTTGGCACCAAGATGCCTAAACACCTATTGAACGTCTTCCGCGGTCTTCAGATGACAGCGAAAGAGAAATAAGCTTTTTTGGGAGGTAAATGTCCAAAGTTGTCAGTAAAAATGTCTCCATTTATTGGGACATGAAACACACCTATATCTGATATCAACTTCTGAATCTTCGTTCCTTCACATGTAAAGTAGCGGGCTAGGAATAGAAGTAAACGGTGCTCACATACCCATGTACGGCAGGACATATGTCGGAAACTTCGGCCCAGAGTACGGGACGACTTAGCAGCCATTAGTTCACGGTGACGAGGATGAGTGACATCACTAAACGTGTGATCAGCAAATTGGTTGGCCGTCTTCAAATGTCGCTGTATTATAATATCAGCTAAGAACAACGTATAGGGCACACTGGCAGATGAAGAGAGCATTCGAAGGCTACGTTTAACGGGTCTTTTTAAGCAAGACTGGAAAGATAATTTCAGAGCAGTAAAGAATGAGGGGGAGAATGCAGGCGTCTATAAATCGCCAGATTAGGGTATGCGGTTAGGACGTAGGTATACTCCGATCTGTTCCAGGATTCACCAACCCTGGCTGTTTCGTCAGGCGAGGGGTCAGGACACTTCCAGTTTATTTTTCTCAAGAACGAAACAATTATGTTACCGGCTAAATCTAAGTAACCC